GACGATTGTATGTAATTGCAATAGAAAGTGACAATCGACTTCCTTTTTTCTAAATGTATTAACCATTGAATATGATTAATTGTAAATTAGTCTATACAAACATATTCTTTGACTATACTTCAGCACGTACTTCGTTTGGTTATTATGGCTGTAACCTTCTAAAGCTTAGTCACTACAGAACAACAATTTCTAATAAACAAAATCTTGCAACGGGCCGCAGAAAAAAAAATCCCAGTTTTTAACATAGACTTGTAAGTTGTGACTTTAAATTTAAAAAAATTTAACAAAAACCGCAAAAAGTAATGAAAAGTTTTGATTCTAAAGGTTTTTAAATGACATGAAGAAATTACGTCATCTTTAATTGTCAATAGAAGAAATAACTCCCTTTTAATTGTGGCAAAACGCATTATTCATTAAGAAATTATAAAATTGCTATTAATTGTTAGATGAAGATAAATTAATTGGTTTTAAAACGCAATCATCCACATTGCAAATAAGATAAAATAAAATTAAGATGAAGTATTTCTTATCTTAAAAATTGTAACTTTCGGATTTAAATAGGACAATTATCTTACACATGTCTTAAAATGCCAAGTTCTTAAGCTTATATTTATGCAAAGGTAGTACAACCTATTGATTCATAAAGATCTTCATTAGTTTTTGTCTCGAAATTGTTTTAAAGTGAAGTTGGCCAACATCTTTTCTTTGTTCGGGAAATTTGACCTTTTTTTAAAATTCTGCTAATCAGTTAAATACATGTATGAGCGCTTGAAAAAACAGGTGACATTAAGATAGCATTGTACGAAACCAGTTTATGAATGATTGACGAAGAATGTACCTTTAGGAACATGCTGCATTCGAGTAATCCCAAGATCTGTAAACGGCTTTTGGAATACTAAGCTAAACAGCGTTTAGGGATTCTTGGTAAATAGAGATCAGGAGTTAAGATAATTGAAAAGGTTAAGGAGATTTCATGTTGAAATTTGTTTATATAGATAGTGTAAAGTTAGTGGCAACCGACCAGAATAAAATAAGGAAGTAATAATACGATTGTAATTCTAAACAAATTTTTTTTTGTTGGTGAACGTCAACTAAAATCGTTGAGTGTCACTACGTCTGTAAATTAACTAACACTCTACACACCAAATTTTATATAGGTTTTTCTGCCCCAGATACCCGACTAAACAAATACGACACGAGGTTATCCCATTACTTATGGTTTTACTTTTCTGATCTCTACATGAGACGACCTAGTCCCTTCTGGAACAGGAATCACCATCACATAATTTTTTAGTTAAAGATCCACTTAAAATATATTTTACAATCCAACCTTTTTCCTATATTTGAAGTACAGTAAAAACTTTACATCGAGTTTCTGCAAGGAGTTTATCCCAACCTTAAAACAGTTATGTACTTGTGTAGCTTGGAAGACATCACAACACACAGTTATTTCTATCATTTTCATCTCCGAGATTCAATGTCCAGTCATAGACACATGAAGACTACATCTATTAGGAAGGAGGAAATGGCCCCTCAGTGGCACAACGGAATGTCTGCGGACTTACAACGCTAGAATCCGGGTTTCGATACCCGTGGTGGGCAGAGCACAGATAGCCCATTGTGTAGCTTTGTGCTTAATTACAAACAAACAAACCCTTTAATAATATATTCTTTGAAATAAATTACAATGCACTGGGGAATAAAAAAGAGAGATTGATAAGTAAAAACTAATGAAAGCACGAAATGTTTCTTTTTTTATTAAAAATATTCCTTTGGTCGGATGCTTGGATAGAGAGGTTTGTTTCATACTTTAAATTATTTCTAAGACTAGCAGCATCCTTAAACTACTTAAAAGAAACGAACAGTGAAAAAAACTTTTTAAAAAGTATTATAAACAATTAAATGATAAACTGGCTGTACCAGCATCCTTTGGAAGTAAATTAAACATGCATAACATTCCTATGTCGACGTCAGATCATCAGTGTAATCCATTTTTTAAAAGTTTTTATTGCTAGTCTTATGATTTCGCAATACACGTTAAGCAGAGTGGTAAACAATAATAGCTTTGACATTAGATTAGAATCACTGTGGTTCAGCTGTTGTATCACAGGATGCCCTTGAGTCTCAAGGTTAATTTGTTTATTAGAAAAAAATTGCGTCATACACATCAAGGTTTGTATCATTTGTCTTCATTGCGTAATGTAGTTATAACATAACTTTAATGATGTTTTCGTCAAAAAATACAAATCTGATTGAAGAAGTTGAAACTACACTTTTTCAAAAAGTGACAGCAGCATAAGATATATATATATATACATATGCACCTTTAAATTAATTACCACTAACCTAAACACGCCCGAATCCCAATGAACACGCAAGTTTTGTACGATCAAATATGTTTGAAACAAAATTTGGTGAAAAAATGTGAGCAAATGACGGCAAAGCAATAAATTTGTTTAGTTTTCTTTGTTAGTTTCTTCAAAGTTAAGCACAAAGCTAGACAATGGGCTATCTGTGCTCTGCCCACCACGGGTATCGAAACCCGATTTCTAGCGTTGTAAGTCCGCAGACATACCGCTGTCCCAATTGGGGGCCCAAAATTTGTTAGACGTGTGATGTAATCATCAGGTTAAAGATCTCATATTCAAGATCTAATTTCCATATTTTTGGAATCTATTTTAAATAACAAAAATATATGCAGCACTATTTGTTTCAGACCACTTACGCTAGTAATAAGCTGAATATGCATATATTACAGAGAGAAAACACACAACTAAACTTCTTTTAAGTTAAGTAGCAAGGGAAAAAAAAGTATCAACAATTTTTAATTTTATAATGCTTTGCACACCTCCTGTCACATCAACATGAATAAGTAAAGAAAAAAAACACCTTTATTGTTTATATAATGTAAATAATAAGCCTCTTAAACCCATATGTTTTAAACACACAGTATAATTATAAAATACATTTTATTGAGTGTTTAACACCATATTCTTGTCTTGACAAACACATGACGTATGTCAAAAAATACTTCATTATTTTAACGTTTTGACACCTCGTATCGAGGTCTGGCACGAACATACCCCTGTATTTTATACTATTAGTTTCAGTACGTATGATTTAATAATATATGTATTTGAAATTGGATAAAAAGTTTGCTCTTGGGCGTTTTTATTGTCCGGTCCTTCCTTTGTCGCCCCCCCCCCCAGTGGCACAGCGGTATATCTTTGGACTTGCAACGCTAAAAACCGAGTTTCGATACCCGTGGTGGGCAGCGCACAGATAGCCCATCGTGTAGCTTTGTGCTTAATTCTAAACAAACCTTCCTTTGTCAAAGTTCGTGCAATTCTGCCTTAAACGCATAGATGATTATTTGTTTAACCTTTCGTTTGTAAGCCACATACACAGTTTTATATATATATATAAAACTAAAGAAAGACAAAAGACATTTATTGCATATAATTAGCCTCTTAAACGTGTATGTTTTAAACACATAGTATAAGATATATATATATTAGCTGAGTTACCCGGCGTTGCACGGTGAAAATTTAGATTTGAAATGTATAGATCAGTATTTTTTTTCAGAATATTATTCAGTAAGTAAATAAAAGCTGTGATGCGAGAAATAAAAAAGTATTTAATCAAACAAAGCTTTATTTGAAATTAGATCGTGTTTGAGATTGTCTTGTTCTTTGAGTCTGAAGTCGTAC